ATGTGATATATATATATCACATCTAAAACTTTATATTTACATGTATAATATTTGGTGTTTTAAAATTATGTAAGAAAAGATGTACTTTATTTTTTTTAAATGATAAAAGTGTCATTTCTAAAAATATGATGTTAAAGATTTAAATATTATGTGTGTAAACATTAAATTTTATGTGTGGGATATATATATATATATATATATATACTTTTTATCATTAACCGTCAAATTTCTTGAGATCCATGCAGATCATTTTTTAATATACACGATGAAATAAATTTATGAACATACTCATTTATTATTTAATGACCGATTTGTTAAGATCTCAACAAAATGCTCATTTATTTATGCTAACTTATAAAAAGTTTTGTTAACAAAATAAAAATTCGCATGCATTGACAAAGCATATGCATCAAATTCATATAAAGTTATCATTTGATGTTTCATAAGAAAAATGATATAATATTCTAATCTTTGATATTTATATTTAAACACTGTTAAAATTTATGCATGAAATATAATGCTCTAATCTTTGATAGTTTTAAAAAGTTGGTACTAATAATATTTTTTTTATGTAATATAAAAAATGTGAGTGGCATGTAATTGAATATGAAAGCCTAAGGGTTATATATATATATATATAAGAATTGTGTGTTATGTATATAAATGCCCCAATATATAAATATATATACTTAGATATTAGATATGCAAATAGATAAGAACAAGTGGTATGTATGCAATTGCCCCAATTTTTCAAACAATTAGAAATTTAACCGGTGGTTTGTTGAGCTTCCGACTCTCCATGGTCCAGTGGGACCCTCGGTGGAGCCGATCCGTGACGAGGGCGTCACGTGATTGGGTGGAGGAGAATGTCACAGACAAATAGTTCCACATTGGCTAGGTGTAGGGCCGAAAAGCAGTATTTAAGTCCTGTGCTGCCCACCACCCACAATGGCTCTTTTGGGGGGTGACATTCCGCTACCAATTGGGGAAGATTAGATGGTTGGATGAGATGAAAATGGACGGCGGAGATAGAAAGCAGCGGGTGGAATCACAACGAGGCTAGCATGAATGTTTTCACTCTTTAATCAGAGAAACTCTACAATTCTACGTATAATTTCTACATGTGTATCTGTATGTATAGTTTACCTGCTGAGGGGTGGTGGGGTCGGCGTCTTCGGCGAGGGGAATGGACAGAGTTTCCCTCGGCGGCGGTAAGAGCAGATGCGGCTGCCGCCGGCGAAGCATGACGTGGCCAAGGAGAGGATTAAAAGCAGAGGAGGAAGGGGGTGGGGGGACATGGACTCTGCTCGCGCTCACGGACGAAGGCGCAGAGGTGAAGGAAGGTCTCGCGGCTTGGTTGAAGGAGAGAGGTTTATGACATATATAAGTGGAAGTAGATGAGGGGAGATAATTACTTTTCTTATAAATATAAGATTGATAATATATGTCATGATTGTAAATAAAAAAATCAATGGGAGACTTTGATTCACTTAGCGTTGCTTATTTTACTAAAATATTTAGAGGATTTTGATTGCGAAATTTAAATATTTTAACAAAAAAGGAATAAAGGCAATATAAAATATTATTTGGAAAATTTTGGAACTGGCCCGATAAATTGTTTTCGACGCATTAAAAAAATTTGAGGGGTTATTTCGACGGATAAAAAAGTAAGATATTATATTTAAAATATTATTGCACGTCAACAATTTATAAGCACGAATCACAAAAATATCTCGTGAATTGACGTGGCCTCGCGCGACCTATTTAAGACCGCACGCTTAGCCGATTAGCATCCCCTCATACCAGGAAGGCAGTGCCCATCAAACGAACAAAGAGTAGATTTTGACCAAAATTGGATCCTCCAATTTCAGAGCAGTTGACGCGAACCCTTAGAAAGTTGCCGCCCGGCCTCACAGCCGCCCGACGTGAGTGGTATTTCGGCACGAATCCCGAGGTGTGAAGGTATTGCGGTTCAACTAAAGTAGTTTGCTTATCCACGTTGTTTGAAGATTATAATGACATATTCTACGATCAAGTGGCTCATCTTGCAAATATATAAATAAAACTTGTGGTCAGCTGAAAGTTTTAAAATTAATCATTAATTTATGTTCTATCGATCGAATTCATTAATACGACACGTATCTTCTAAACCGGCGCAATTATATGCTTAAAACATCATTCATTTTCATCTACATGGCCTCGAGAGAGGGGAAAATTATTGCATACATACACCGTATGCAGAGAAGCATGCAGTGTCTGATCCTTATCGTAGATCACAGTGATCTACGGTTCATGATGCAATTAAAATTTTTTTGAAAAAAAAAAAGTTAAAGTGGGCCCCGCCGAAATATTTTTTAACCGTAGATCATCATGATATACAGTCAGGATCGGATGTACACAATAATTTTTCGGAGATAGGAGCCTTATTTTAACGCTGTGTATATTTTTTTATCTTTCTGCTTCTCTGCTGTCAAATTTTTATTTTAAGTATTATACAACGCTATTTAAAAGTAATTTCTGTCCTCGTCGGCGTGTGAGGATGGCATGGAAGCGAGGCCGTTAGCGGGCAGGCGCTTTTCATCTATTTATTATTTTATTTAATATTCAAAAATATTTTGACATGGGAAGAGAAGGAGATGGAGCTAAATTAATTTTTAATAATTGTATTAGTTCTCTCAAAAAAAAAATTGTTGTTTATGAACAGCTCGTGTTCGGTTCTTTTCTTAAATAAATGAGTTGAATACAAACAATTTTTTTTTTTAATTTGATTTATAAATGAGCTGAATACAAACAACTTTTTGTTGGCTCGTATTAAACTTGTTTTAGCTCAAAATAAAAAAAAATCATATAATATTTATAAAAAAATATATTATACGTATTATTTATAAAACAATCTATTATATATATTTATATCTAAATTTAAATAATAACATGTCGTATGGTAATGTGATTCTGTCTATTTTTTATATATATATATTTGATCCACGTTACAATCCAATACTCTGCTTCTATTTTTTCACTTAATTTTAACGAGTCAATTTTGAGCCAAACATGAAGAATACTATTTAAATCGAGCCAATTTTAAACATGAGCCGATTTCGAACACGAGCAATTTCGAACGAGCCAAACATAAGCTCTATCAGGCTCGACTTCTTTACATCCCTAGTTGTATACCCATATATTTTCGAAACTTACTATTTACAAACCAGCCACATTAACCATTTTTCAAATTCTCACTCAAATATTAAAATTGGTAAAACCCCCACCCATACCTATCATTTCTAACAAACTCTCAATAAATTGACTGTGGCATGTATAAATATATCGATTCGATCGTTCAAAAAATCATATGAATAGTTGATTTGTAAATGTCAATGTTTCGTGTGGTTTTGTGTAATCATCCCTTATTATTATTTGGGATTCAACCACTCTGATGACTCTGGGAGTTTGGGAGGGAGTTTCCTGTAGGATGATCATCTTTACATACACTATGTTTTGTGTTCTTTGTAATCTAAGTGGTGTGTGATTAAAGTGCATTTTATATGTGTAAGATTTTTCTTGACATCATATGGTAGTATCATTTCTACCAATGCAATTCTTTAGAGTTTCTTGTGTCTTCAATTAATGTAGGGAATAAAGTTTTGAGTGAAGGATAATTTTCTTATGTTGGAGGTACATAATAGTATCAATATTGTACATATGGAACCATAATAGAAAATCCTCTATAATAGATGGAATATTATTGGTTACCATCATTTAATTTCCTACAAGTAAATGAAGTTGAATGTTTATATTGATTAAGTACACCACTTATGCTTGTATTGAATGGAAACATTGGAAAAAAAGAAACTTCTGAAAAATCAGACAAGTTGCATGTGGGCTTGCCTTTTCATAACTTAATATTGGAGAGAGATTTAGTAGTTAGGACATCCCTAGAAATTTTATCTTGTTTCAAAATATTTGAGAATTGGCCAAATACAATAATTAAGATCTTAATTGATGAATTATATAATTGAATATATTCATAAAAATTCTAGATATTATTGACTAATTTTAGCATAAATTACTCACGGGTTACTTTAGTTCTACTATCACTATAGAAAAATTGTTAATTAACATCAAATTTTGCATTGGCTTCTAATTCGACGTAAATTAACGTCCACTTTACGTCTTTTTAGCAACCAGAAGATTCAAACCAAAAAAGAGTGGACGCAAGCGTCCGATTAGCAGTGACTATTGCCAATACGATTAAGTTACTTAATAGTGTCAGCAATGACCGACACTAAACAGACACTAATGGCATATTATCTGCCCCCATCCCGACTGAGACTCATTTCCTCTTCCTTCTTCTCGGTAGTCGTGTGCGGTGAAACTGGTAACTTAGGGGCGAATCCTGGTGATCACAATGATTCTGGCGAGCTCGAGCGACTTCGGCGACGTTTTAACCATCCAAATCGAGGCTTTAGCAAGGTAAACTTCTCTTCCGGCTTAGATTTACATTTTTTTTCTCTCTTGAGTCTCCCCTCATGAGATTTGTATTTTTTAATTTTCATTTCTTGTAAATTTATTTTTTGGTTTTAGGTATGCATTTCTTAAATGTAATGTGTTTAATAAGTGTCTCATATTGGCTCAATGAAAAGCAATTTTTGAGTGCTTACATTCTTTAAAGTTTCCAAGTGCTTGTGAGTCTAACATAAGCTGATGTCTTGACTAGGGGATGGAGAAATATTTGGCATGAAAAGTCATGATTGTCATATTTTCATGCAATCCTTATTACCTATTGCATTCAATGCTCTCTTAAAGCCGATACTTGATCCATTGATCGAAACATAGTACATTTTTCAGGGAGTTGTACACAGGGACTTTGAATGTTGATCCTCTGAGAAGTCTAAACGCAGATATTCTTTTATTGCTACGAAAACTCAAACGAACATTTTCTCCTGATTTTTTGTCTCAATGGAACATCTATCCATACATCTGTGTTATGAGACTATATTGGGGGTCTAGTAGAATATAGGTGGATTTATCCCTTCGAGAGATATGTCTTTTATTTTAGAGTTGACTACCATCTTATTTTTTATAAAATGACTCAACTGTGCAGATTTCTAAATAAAATTGAAAAAACTGCTAAGAATAAAACACGTTTGGATGGATTGATATGCGAGGTATACCTATTATAAGAGAAAAATAATTTATGTTCTTATTACTTTGATCAACGGCAACATACGCATGATAAAGTTGGTGAGATGCCTTTGCAAGCAAAATTATTTGAATTCCAGATATCAAATGAACTATTAGGTAGGCATGGTACGCCAACCTCAATGATAGAGAGTTTCGAGCAGCTACATTGTATGTTATACTGCACTGAGATGAAGTGTAATCGTTCTTATACTAAGATTAAATTTAATCGAATGTTTTCTTAGTTATTATTTGGAATGTTGTATCAATTAACTCAGAGATACAAATAACAATGATGTATGTAAGTTATTTATCGAGAACTTGAACATAAGGGATGATTTTCTTATAAGCAAGAAGATCGAAGTACAATTTTCAATATGATTCAAATTATATGTACATTGAAGTATATTTTCATTTCAGCAGTACGTCATGTAATTTTAATCTACAAAGTAAAACTAGTCATGTAATTTTAATCTACAAAGTAAAACTAATTTTGTTTTAGAACTTTTTCTAGCTTTATAATACAATCAAAGAAATTACAAACCAGAGCTTGGTAGGTATTGCTTGTGGGTCTAATCATAGAGTCAAGACATAGATGATATTTGAAGTGAACAATTAAAAATTTCACACAAGCTTCTGATGTAAAGGAAAGTAGGCTTATAATTATGACGTTTGTTTTATAGGAAACACACACACAAACAACAATATTAGCTATTACAACATACTAAATGAAGTAATTCGATGTAGTATCCGGGTTATGTTGAATGCAATGTCTACATGCTCCACTGTGAGTGATTTGATCTTGTTCTAATCGAATGACACAGACACTCGATCCGTATAATATTACTGAAGCTAAAATGAGCATAAAATATGCAAAGTATGATTCATTTATTCTGGCACATCCGACTAGTCAGGTTTATTATCTTCAATATCCTGGTCAAGCAAGGGATAAAATTGATTGAGCTATTGTATTGAAGAATAGATCGCGAAAAAATAATTGAGATACAAAACTTTATCAAACCTATTCACCAAGAGTGCGTTATTTTTTTATTTTCATATTCAGCTTAGCTCAATCAATGAGGAGTTGCCCCTAGCAGATACCAACGGGTTTCACAAATATATCATTCTTGATATGGATGAAAATGATGATGAGATTAAAAAATTTTAAATTCTTCACCATTTGGTTCATTGAATGAAACATATTAGAGAATTGTATGTATACTTAAATGTTTAGTTTCTGCACCGTCTTGCGTTTACTTATGCTTCTTACATTATAGTTGTCGTGCTTACTTTTCTTGATTTTACGCCTAGTCAAGGCATGTTTCACGTTGGCATTCTACAGTGTTCTGCTTTTACTTTTCTATCTTACATTACAAACTAATCATGCTTATTAGTTCTAATTATTTTTTTCTGTTGCAGATGGTAGGTGCTCAACCCCTGGAGAGACCTCGCGTTCAGGGGACTTTGAGGAACATATACTGGAGGCTGAAGAAGGTCATCACTTGCCCTGAGAGGTACACCGCTCCTGTAAACACTCTGATCGCTCCTCCTGCTGTCCCTCCTCCCGCACAGCTCTCTCACAGGCATCACCTCCCACACCTACATCAGATTTCCATCCATATTCCTCATCTAAAGAGTCAGGCCCCTTCAAATTATGCACCTCAAATGATTGACTCCTCCGACATAGTCGATATTGTGCCAGAGGGAGACTCGTTAAGTCAGCTTTCTTTTTTTACAGTAGAGTAATTTCAAATTTTTTCTCTTTTTTTAAGTCGTCCGTTACATAGATCACAGAGATCATCCGGAGCTGGTATGAACAGTCATTTCTCTTATGAAAACAATTCTCGGTTGTGACTCGGGACATGTGATTTAGGGAGTTCGATGTATGATAAGAAATTGAGTGCAAATTTTTTCTTTTTTTTTTTTATATTAATCAATCTTACATAATTTTTAAGTTGTAGAGGTCCTTCTACTAGTTGTCGGAACATCATCAGCAGACGATATATTTTTTAGGTTCGCGACAGGCACCACTCGGAGATATGTTCACTACAGTGCATAAGAAGCGGTAGAGGCATTTGACTCTTCAAAATACCATAGAAAAAGAAGATAAACCAACATAATTTGACGACGAAAGGGGCCAGAGGGGCCGCACTCCACATTGGAGGTTTGATCCCCCACACACACAGAGCATTATCGGAGGTTGGTAAGATTATCTAAAAATTCACAAGTTTAAGGATTTATGTAATTTTGAGACTCTTATATTTATCTGATTATGTATAGAGGTCAAGGAGCTTGACTAAGAGTCATCCACTGCAGAGTTACACTTCCTCACACATTAGCGCCCGGGCACACAGTAGTGGTTCTTCGACCACTTACGACGTGTCAATGTATGTTAGATTTTTTTTATTTTTTTCTATTAATGTTTAAAAAGACAATCAATGTTTGAATTTTGTTATGCATAAAAAGTAAGAGCAGCTCCGTGAAAAACATAGGGAGATGGCTAGCCAGTCTTCGCCGTGTGCCAGCAGCAGTGGGAGTTAGTCTACCACTTACCAACCCGATTTTGAGTTGTGGATGCAAGCAGCTGGGAAGAAAAAGATGAGGTTATACGGCCTAGGGACAAAAAGCATAACATTTGAGGTCGAGGGCTCTCGTGCAATTGTGGGTGGCCCTAGCTCTTTACAGGTTCAACATAAAAAGAATATCAGGTGGGCCATGTTGATGAATGAAGAGCTCGACAGGTGTGTAAAAGCCCAGTAGATTGTCTAGCATGCCCGGCGAAGAGTTCTGATTGTCGGGGCAAGTAGTATATGAGTGTTGTGGAAGAGGATGTGAATGAGGAGCAAGAGGATAAGGCGGAGGATTATGATTTTTATTATGTGTTTGTTGATGTTCTCATACCAAAGGGGCCGATGAATTTTTATTTTCATTTATGTTTAAGTTTATTTTTAGTTTATGTAGTTGTGAAATTTGAACACTTAGATTCGTTTTTCTTTAATTCAATTGTTAGACAAGTTGGTGATTACTTTTTCGGTTGTGATGATAGATAATTATGATATCATTGTTGTTTGTGTTTATTATGTGCATGTATGTGAAAATTGATGCCTTTTTGTAGTTTTTCTTTTTGTTCTTTTTACAATTTAGCATTAGATTAACATCGATGTTTGTCGACGCAACATGCAGTTTTGTGTCAGCATGCGGTCAACACTAACTAACGTCTGCTACCTTGGCCTACGCTAATTAGTATCCACCATGGCACACTATTTGTTTTCTCGACGAAAATTCATGACAAATTTTTGAGACGTTAATTCCGACGCAACTAAAATCTAATGTTAATTTCTACATAGCGCCAATCAGTGACGCCCATTTTAATGTCAACATTATTTCAATGTTAATCCGACGTTATGATTGATTAGCGTCGGAAAAAGGCAGGATTAGCGTCGGAAATGTCCAACACTACTTTGTTTATTTCCTGTAGTGTATGGCCAGTAGCTAGCAGTAGTAATAAAACAAGTTGTAAGAAAAAAATTTCTTTTTGCACATCCAGATGGCTAGATATAATATTGCTAGTAATAATGTGTGAAGAATAAGAAAAAAATTTGCAATATAACACCAATTTAAATCGATGTTATAAAGTAGAAATTCTTCCAATAATTAGTTGTTCATTATTCACACACCTTTGTCAACCTCATTTGAGATAAGTAGCCCTTTGATGCCAACAAAATAAATTTCTAATTGAATATAATAAATAAGAAAAGTGTCAAAATGATCCTCACATTTTGCAAAATATGCTATTTTAATCCTGAAGTTTACAAAAGAGACGGTTTAATTCCAAAACTTTTTTGATACGTGTTGACATAGCCCATAGTGACGACTATTCTAGCCCCTATTATGGAACTAATCCAACACTTCTATAAATTTTGGGACTAAACTCTAAAATAAATAGCATGAAATATATTTTTTTCTCTGACTATTATATGATACATAAGATTCCGAGTTAATTTCAGTAAAACAAAATAGTTCCTTTGCATTTTTTCTTTGCTTAACAACGCAAATAAAAGTATATTAAAGTTACATTATTTGAACTAAGAAACTCATTTACAAAAAAAGAAAGAAAATAAATAAATAAATACAATCATGCTCTTTAAGCATTCCTAATTGTTGATCTTTGTTGTATCTTCAGTACAACAACTAAGCACCTCAAAACTGGCTATCCATAAAATAATTCTACAAACCCTCCCTAAAAGCACAAGTTTCTAAGGATAAGGCGTCAAAAACTTACTTTCTTCTTGAGACTGTGACCATACAAAAGAAGGCAATGCAGCGAGAAAGTATGCCATATAAAATGAGAACAACTATACAAAGGCCCCAATTATTAATATTATAATCACTCTGCATCAGAGAACCACACCTAGTTACCAACCAAACTCCAGAATACCTGTAACAAAGGGGGGGCATGACTTAGTAGTAGAAACATATGAAGCATATATAATAAAGGAAGCCAAGTTTCAAAATAAGATTGTAAGGGGTTTGGGTGAGATTTAATAAATGCGTGCATCATATACTGAAGATAATATGAAATTATTTTGTGATTTCAACATGTATAATAGATAATATAACATGTACGAATAATACAAATTTTTTACTTGCTATTTCTCTTCCCTAGGGGAAGTAACTAGTAAGCATAAATAATACAGATATTAAAATTAATATAGAAGGGTTAGAAAGAAAAATAATTGGCCAAATATAACTTCATCCAAGTTAATAAAAAAGATTATGTAACTTTGGTGTAACACTTCAACTAACACCCCACAAAAGTAAAAAATAAGAATTCAGAAAATATAAACTAAGGGATGTTTGGTAGTACACTTTTAACAGGATTTAGTCATGGATTTCATCTAAATTCAGTCATACACCAAAAAAGGAAAAAACTAAATCCAACACTCTATTAAACCCAACTCTCTCCTGTTCCGTCTCCACTGCGACGTAAATTTGGATTTATCAAACCCTACTATGAGGGGGGTTTCGCGCATTTACTCCGTCGTTGCCCACGTGCTTAGTTTCAGTCACGAGCTTCGGCGGATTTCACGGATTTGACAAATCCTACATAACGTAAATCTACAGCTGCAGCCAAACACAACCTAAAGAGCTATTTGGGATTACTTCTATATTTTTTACTTGTATATATTTGGATTTAAAATAGAACTCGTTTGGTGGTGATAGTTATTTTTAAAGATACTGAAAGGACCTAAATATTATTCTCAGTGCTCTTAAAATAAGTTGATCAATTCTTTCAAATAAAAAATAAAATCACTTGAGAATGTAAACAAAAAGTCCTAAATTATTGAGAATGTTTATTATGATTTATATGCTCCACCAACTTAGAATCAATAAAATGCATTAAAGTTGTAGAAGAAGATGAATTTAAATCGAACCTCTCAGCGTTAACAATAACAAATGCCTCCAATGCCCACTTTGTGTAACATATGTTAGCCAGGAATTTTGAGGTTGTCTCCTGAGTAGCTATCAGCGTTAAAATTACTGGCATAAGTGCAGACCACTGCACGAGCAAATCCAAAAGGTTGTTAACCAGACAGAAAAACAGCTTATGAATTTTAAAGAAAATTTAAACAAATTTAAATGAGATAAAAATGACTTTAACGATAATTTATCTCACCAACTGGGCTGTTCCAGGCTGGAAGAAGATGGAGAAGAAGTAGCCAATACCAGTTACACAGTAAACGAGAGCAACTAGTATGATGTAATTATCTGCAATTGAGGACCTAGGGTTGTTGAAAAAATAGAACATTGAAAGATAAACTATTGGTTTGACTGCTGTATTGAAATGATCAATGGTATCTCTTGCAAGGAAATAAGCGAGTGAGCTCATGCCAGAAGTCCTTTCCCTCATGTATTGCAGCTTTTCAAGCGAAAATGATCTAAGAGCTCCAATCTTGCATAATAGAGCTGTAAAACAACACATTTTAATTAAAATATGCAACAATTTATTACAGATTAGTTTATTCAAAGAATCATGATAGTTGAAGATACAATTATGGGGCAGCTAAATATTTTTTAAGAAGGCTTAATCAAATGAATTTTAGGTAAGATTGAAAAACTATCATGGATAATCATACATATTTATGGAATGCAAATGGATCTAAAATGTCAGCATGCAATTTGTTGGATTCTTATTATATATCATACAGCAAATATTAGTAGATTCTTATAATATATCATACAATTTAAAAAAAAAAAAAGAAAAAAAAAACTTACAAACAGCTATAACAGTGTACGTGTAACCCAAGGATCCAAATGTTTCGTCACTCATTTTAGCAAGTGTCCCTAGGCAAACTCCAGCAAGACATAGAATAAGAAAATCAACTCCTAGTATTCTAGCTTCACGAAGACGTTGCTTACCAACCCTGAAAAATTATAAGAATTATACTATGCTAAAATCCATTAAAAGGATTAAAATTACATAGAGTTTTCACTATAGTTGAGCAAAATTTAATAAGTTATGGAAAAATCTTGAAGATGGTAGGTGAGTAAGCCTACAGAATAAAGTGCCAAAATAGTCCCCTCTCTTTTCATATTAGGCCATTTTAGTCCCAGAGTTTACAAAAATGCTAAATTAGTCCCCAAAATATTTTAGTGAGATCCAAAAATAGTCCTCAATGAGTATTATTTCAATCAATATTAAAAGAATCTGGAAACTTTATTGAGACTTTTAAAAATTCTGGGAATAAAATGATCTCCCATAAAGAGTCATGGGACCATTTTGACACTTTTCTCTGAGCATATACCTTCCCAAGAAATACTTGTACTGCTGCAAAATACCAGGAGTTCTCCGATTTGACAAGTCCGTAGAATGTAAGAAATTATACTCAAAATCATCTTTTCGCCGCCCCACAATATCCTTAACATTGTCCCATATGTCCCCTGCAATAGATCGTCTTTCAATCTCAACATTACTCTTTTCTGCACACTTGTTAGAAGTATCTCCAGTAGAATCATCACGAAGCATATCGCGAGGCACATCATATCCATTATGCACCATCCACCTAAGAGGAAGTTGCTTGCAAGTTATTCCTGAAGGCGTGTTTGGCTTAATTATCCCCTCTAAAATGTCTATAAAATAATCTGGAGGATTAACACGTTCTGGAACATTGATCCCAAGACCTGAAAAATATTCTTCAACCTTCTTGATAGATCCATGATACACGGTTATGCCTCCTTTTGCTAGAAGTATCAAATCATCAAACATCCTGTAGAGGGTATAACTGAAAAAAACACATATATATAGTTTTACTTGCAGGAATTCATTATCGAAGTTGATCAATAAGGAGAAAATTGATTTATGATAGTTGTCAGTTCTTTAAGCTAACTAGGCAAATTCATGAAAATTAAAATTTAGAAAACATAGAAATAATTGATTTAAGAAATAAACATCTTTATAGGATAGAATCTTAAAATAACCTGGGTTGGTGAACCACCATGCATATATTTACCCCTTCAAGTGCTTCGCGGCGTAGGGCTTTAAGAAGCATAGAAGATGAAGCACTATCCAAGCCAGAGGTTGGCTCATCTAGAATCAATAAAGAAGGTTCCATAACCATTTCAAGCCCAACATTAACTCTTTTTCTTTGCCCACCTGATATTCCACGCTGCTCGACAGTACCAACTAAGGATTCACGTACTGCTTGCAATCCCAAGGACTCAATAATTCTTTCAACAACAAGAACTTTATCTGCCTTTGACAAATCAGCTGATAATCTGAGACAATATTGAAAGAAAAATTTAATCATTCTAACTTTATTCCTAAAAATAACTTAAAAAATTTTTAAGCAAAGGAAAAAGCGTAAATATAATAAAATTAGATTTGAATATTGTTTAGGGAGATAATCATGAATATTCAATTTTTCAAAAGCACATTGTCTAGTTTTAAACCAGATATAATACTGTTCTCTCTGTTTTCAACTCCGATAATCACCATAGTCTCCATTTATACTAAGAATGTCAATTTTGCTAACATTTTTTTGATATGTCGATTTTATTAAAAAAATAACATATATGACTATTTTTAAAAAATCTTAATGAAGATTCTTTAATCTGCTCCATACATAGTGCCTCAACTAAAACAAATAGAAGCATCCTATGAGAAACCTACGACGTCTGTAAAATGTTTTCATTCAGGTAATAAAAAAAATTAGCAGTATTATATATCAATCCAAAACAGGTTTGAAATAGATATTAAGTGAAAGTTTTTTCCCAAATTAGCACGTACCCCAAAGCAATTGATGGGCACGAAATCAGTTAATAGTGTCAAAAATTAAACAATCATTAACTAATCAGTCTCCTTTAATATAACCAAAGAAATGTCGTTTAAGTGCTCAAAAAAGTTGAAAATATTTTCGAAAAAAATGTGTACAAGTAAAAAAGCTTCATGCACAGACAGTCCTTATGGCCCCACCTAACTATAGTTCTTAAGGGTAAGCCTGAAAGCAACACAGTTACCAACTTAACAGCAGCCACGGGTTCTTTGATCACCATGATAAATGAGATTGGTTAAACTGCCTAATATTTAAATTTATTAATATAAGTTGACTAAGTTACATTTTAGTAAAAAGATAAAGATTAGAATGGAATACCTTGGAAGACATGTATATAAATAAATCGTTCATTTCGAATGGGTAAATAATCATGAGAAAAAGTAATGAAATGGGCATTCCTTTTTTATCTTTTTTCTATTTTTATCAAAGTTCAACAATGAAAACGAAAGAAACTAGAAATGGTATATTTGAAATAATTTATATAAGAGATAAGCGTATTAATTCATATCATACCTGCATCGTGCACTAAACCAAAGGTTCTCTTCCACCGTCAAGTTTCCATGAACAATGTCATCCTGTGGTACAAAGCCTATGATCTTTTTATAACACCGAATAGGCTCTGCTTTCCCATTAATAAGAACCAAACCCGTTATCTCACACCCTGTTGTTTTTCCAGCCAAAGCACTCAAAAATGTAGTTTTACCAGCCCCAGAAGGACCCATTACTGCTGCCACACGACCAGGCATGAGTTTTCCCGTCACACTTCTTAAGAGCTTTTTCTTACTCCCTATCAAAGTTAGCGTTAGATCCTTAAAAGCAACCTCAATTGTAGGCCTGGTTCTTATCTCTGTATCAGTAGCCATAGAAATAACTCCAGAGAATGTCAAGTTCTTATTTTGTTGTTCCAATGCCTTTTCTTTCTCAATTTGCCCATATACATACTTGAACATTTGGCTGTGAGTATGGATTTGTTTACCTTTTTGCATGTTCTTCTTTATATTCTTATCTCCAATTTGCAGATTAAACCCTTCCTCACTTTCAGGATTATCTTCTAGTGATTGAATAACTTTTTTGAGATTACTCGATTCTTTTTTCTTAGGTGGAAGGTCTGAATTTTTAGAACTTGAAGCGTTAGATGATCCATGAGACTGCCCCAAACCTTTAGATGTTTTGCGTGAGAATGTTCTAGAAAGTTGTGCTTGAAGTCCTGAGGCATGTTTCTTTGCAACATCTTTAGCTGCTTTCCACCTTTCACGAGCTTGTGCAGTTTCTCGAGCACTCCTTGCAGCGGCTTCTCTTGATTTGGCTTGCCTTCTCTCACGGTTACTAAGGATTTGGCCAGAGAAGTTATATATGATTAAGAGCAACAAACACAAAGCGACCTATATGAAAAGAAGAAATTGTACGTTAACTTTGAGTTTCACAAATAAGTTCTTTTTGTGGAATAAATATGAAAAAATAATAAAGCACTAAAAGAAAACTACGAAACACACTAATTTTTCTAGGAAATCATAAAATTTAGGGCTGCTCAGGTTATCAATCAACTAGGTTTTCTAAATTGTAAAGCTATAATCTTAATTTGTTCATTATAATTATTCAAAATATTGCACCATAGTTTAGCTTAGTTGGAATCAACTGAATACCACTCTAACTGATGGCAGAATTAAATTTTAAAATTTAGGAATCACTAACCATAACAAGAGCTCCAAATATAGTAATGTCTTGATTCGAAGAATTTGGCTTACAAGAACTTTTCTTAAAACACCCTGCATGTTAAGAAAAATATTATTCAAGTATTACAGCTTAAATAACAAAATCTTTCAAATTCAATATTCTCGAGTTTGAAACATATAGACAACACATGTAAGAATGCATCGTCTTGGTTTTGTCAATAAATCTCTTGGACTAAAGAGCATATTTTGCATGTATGTTAAGATGAATAACCATTAGATTGCCAATCTTCTACAGAAAATGACAATAAATTTAGTAGTCAAATACTGACATTTTCTCATTTTTTAAGATTAAAAAAGAATTCATGGAGTGAAATTATATGAAAAATCAGACATAAAACAATGTGCCTTTGTGATATTATCCGAATGATCATATTTTTTTCGAATGATCTTGCCTCTTGTGAATGTTCTCCATATAATTGATTTAAACAAGCAATATTTTATCTATAACTATACTGTTTATAGTTGCCTTACTTGTGAGTGGTACTACATCAAATTCACTTTGATAATTTCCGTCAAATTAGAAAATTTTTTAATTTGCTAACACTAGCTGGAAAAATAGTATGAATATTAGTGAGCTGCTTATTTTAGATAAAGAATTTCCTAAAATTTTCTATTAAATAGTATAAACAAAAGCGAGCTTACTTATTTCAGATGTAGAACCCTTCCTGCAGTAATGCCTGTAAAGTAGTGACAAAGGAGCAATTAATAGAGCGATGAGTGTGTCATAAAATATGAAAGATAATGTACAAAATGGTCATATAAAAAATTAAGGGGAGCAAATCCTATTCAAGAAATTAAATTAAAAAAAAAAAAGATTAGGGTGGTAGCTGCAATATAACAAAATTAAAAAAAGGTGAGAAAATTGCAACCTGGTAGTTGTACATTAAGATTTGTCTTAAATTGAAATTTATCAAATGAAACCCCTAATGATTAAGAAAAACATATGAACAACTATTTTAATATCCAACTCAAAATTGTAGAATAAGGTTTTTATTGTTGCTCATGAAAGATAATTGTTTACATAAATTTTGAAGAAGATGGTTATATGGCTACAAGAAGGCAATAAATTTCATCACAAGCATAAAAAATATAGAAAGAAAATAATGCATCATCAAAATTTGTATTGTGCTATCATGACCATTGGAGAATGTTATAGATTCAATACCCACTACTGCAAGAAATCTTCTGTATAGTGCTTGGACAATAGTATCCAGCAGGGCAAAACACTTGTCTAGTAGATAAAACATCAGCCCACATATCGGCGCCACCACAAGTATGATTAGGTTGACCTGGAGGTAGTTGGTAATTATATCTGCATCATTTCTAAAAATTACTTATATAATGGCTAACATAAAGTTTAATAAAATAGATAGAAGAGACACTAAACATAGTTAATAAGTATGAAATAAAACTTACGGATCACAAACACCAGTGGTCTTATTTAGTTTTGCAAGTGGGCAGTATGCACCCAAAGGACAGGCTTTGAAAAAAATGAGAAAATAAAAGTTAGACAATTGCTTCAATATAAGAGAGTAGAATAAGATAGAGAAAGTACTTACGTATCATGCATGTAATACCACGGGGACAGAAGAAGCCTGGACAACAGGGATGACACTTCTGAGTCCTAGCAGGCATTTGTCTGGAATCATTATATTTAACTTTTTGATTTGGATTGACGTTGCATGCCCATCCTGGCTCACATCCAGAGACCCATGAAGTCAAGTTGCAATTTTTGTTTGGTTTAAGTATGTTGACCTTTGCACTTTCTCCACTGTTGTCATAAAAGCTATTGAAGTAAAATTTCATTTCGGCAGCATTACACAAGCGTTGTGTAAGGTCCCCTGTTCATCCAATAAGTTGATAAAAATAAGTTCATAAAAACAGATATATTCACTAAAAACTAATATTGGTTTTCAGTCTATTATTTCGATAATTCACAAATTTGATAGAATGAAAGCAGTGAAATAAAATAAAATTTCTTAAAGCTATGATATAATAAAATCTAAAGCTAACTCAATTAGTTTGATTTTCCTAAAACAAGTTAAACGTTTTCTTTGGATGAAGTTATGGCCAAGCAAAAAAATATATCTCTTTTACTAAATTTGATCCTTAACTATCCCCAAGTATATCAGCCTCAACAATCCAAATATGAACCAAACCTTATATGGTGGCCATACCCCATCTTTTAACTATGAGGACCGTCTTAGGTTCAATTTCCATACCTAACACTTTTATTTATTTGTTGAAAAAATATAAAGCGTGCATTTCTATTTGATGCATTAACTCTACAAGTAACTAGCTTTGTGCCTCTTTCGAGGATGGCTTACCTTACAACTCTTGCTGGGTAAGGGGTAGAACATTAAAGGTAGTCTAGGAACACTTTTAATTAATGCTCAAAGATCAATTTTGTGGATTTGAGCCAATGCATGGCCGTGCGCTTGGACCTATTTGATACTTAAAGTTCACCTTTAGCAAGTGACCAAGTTTGGTTTCATAAGAAATGATGGGTTGAGGGAACTTCTCATGGTATATGCTTATTGATAAGACAATCCTTCGATCATCTTGAAGTATTTCGTGCTCTTCTTAGTTCACAGCCCTTGTATGGTAAGCGGTTACTAAATTAATGAAGATGGTCTTATTATTTTCAGTTTTGTTCTCACACAACTCCAAATTCAACCAAGTACATAATACAAGCACCAAGATTATAAAACAAATTCATGGTCCATAATCTCTTATGACCTTATTAGCATCATATGTTTGGTTATGATCAAAGGGGTTTGAACTCTAGGACTACAATCCAAAAAATACCTTAATCAAATCCTTTCAATATATCGATGAAAATACTATCAATGATACAATGAACCAATTGGAAGAGCAATCTAAGTATCTCTAAAATTTTATATAAATATTCAACCATAAAAGATGACTATTATGACCCAAAGAATATCCTCATACGTGTTTTAACTATCAAATTATAAGCATTATTATTTTATGATAAAATGTTCAGCATGAATAAAGGTTTGAATGAATCGATAATTCTGCTAGGTTTTGGGTTGTTTGATCACTCTAAAATTTACATAGAATCAACATCAACCTCAAAGTCTCATACATATCAATTCCAATCACAAAGCCATATCATGGATCTAGTCACACAATTTAGATCAACATCATCTTTGATCTCAAACAAATTTGATACAATCATTCATCATAACAAGGAGATGGTCAAATACAAATATTAGAGATAGTATGGTCCATCCTTTCATCCTTCAATCAACCAAATGGCAAATAATTCCCTCAAATAAGTGGCATTTTAGTCCAACACATATCTCAAAAAAGCATGGCTCAAATATCTACCTAAAGAATCACCAAAGTACTAAAATAGCTTCCACTTACAATCATATATCACCTAAAATGACAAAGTTGTTGCGAATATGTAAGCCTGTTCACTGTTCAAATTAGCGTTTTCTCGTGTTTGTCAACAAATTGGATTTGATACTCGAAATTAATTACTCTTAATTTCTTTTATGATTTTCTGAAGAGAAAATGAAATAATTAATGAGTTTCATTAATTTGTTGATTAATTCCTTAATGAGCCTAATGATATTATGAAATTAATAAATAGGCATACTAGCTCCCATTGTTATCTCTCTCGTGATTTGATTTCCCAGACTTCTTCGGTTGTTGCTCTCGAGAGGAGAGAGGAGAGAGGAGAGGTGAGAGAGAGAGATTGTTCTTTCTTGTAATCGTCGAGGCGATCGACGGGTGTAATCCTCGAGTAATAAAATACTTCGCAGCTCCATGAACGTAAGCTATTTGTCGAACCACATAAATCTGTGTGTTTTCGTTGTTTTTCTGTTTTGTGAATTTCTCATTCCAGTTTTATTTTATTGCCATCGTTTTTCACAATAAAAGTAAAAGAATTTCTCCTTGACTTATACTTTTTGTCCATTAGTACCCAAACTCAAACAAATAGTGTAAGATCCCTTATTGTTCATCAAAATGAAGCTTAATAGCCCATCCATTAACTTGAGCGTTTAAGGGCTCCTGAGGGGGCTATAATCCTCCAATTGAGCACTTAAATTTTATTTCTTGGTTATATGCGTGTCAGAAGTAACCTAAGGAAAATCTCTTATAGGACACTCAACACCCTAACGATAGTTTTCTAGGACACAATAAAATGCGACACAAAACTTTAAGAATGAAGGAACTCAATCGAGGATAAATTATTTCACCTGTGCCTCTTTAAAAGCTTATTCACTATTGGTGAAAATTTTGAATTTTAATTAGCATAAAATCATAGTAGTAGATTTATGGTTTTGATACAAGTAAAAATATTGAACAGAATATTAATATGTGGTCAAATAAACAACATTAGTTACAAAAATAACATTCTTTACATGTTAACATTATTCTTGTAAGTAAAATTAGTTGCATTTAATATAGAAGTTTACAAGTAATTTCAAAGACTTTTGAATAGGTAGAGAATCTTCTCTCCAACTAGAAAGTTCAATCACACTTTAATAACTAATTTCTAACATACACGCTATTAAAAACTTAATTCGCGAAAAAAAAAGAATTAATTCTACTTACCATATATTATTCTTAGAAAAATAAAAAATTAATTCTAATTACCATATATTATTCTAAGTACTTATAGATTTTTTATGTGACGTGAAAGATTTGAGTCGTATAAATGCAAAAAGTAAATTTAAATGTTATATATGTTAAAACATACGAATTGGGTGTATGTATGTAAATGCCCCTAAATTAAAATGTGTAAAAAAGGATAAACATTTAATTAAAATCTCATATAATGAAGTGCAAATGTGATTTTAATCAAGTAACATTTATTCTAGACGTATTAATAAAAAAACTAAAAGAATATTTTTTCAATTACATATGATAGGGGTCCGGATAAAATGTATACATAATATAAATTATTAAATATATAATTTATTTCATACTTTTATTTTATAGAAAAGATCAATAGTATCAAATCCATTCATTCCATCTTTATTTGATATTAAAATTTACAAAATAATGAAATCCAATAATATATTTTGAATCAAAGGTCAACAACTCAAAAAGAAAAAAAAAAAAAAAATTAGTAATTGAATTTTATAAAATAGGAGGATTCACATACATACCACCCAATTCTTATTAGTGTTTGGTAGCACACAATTAACAAGATTTAGGGATGAATTTAACTTAAATCCAACCAAACAGTAAAACGAAACTTAAATCCAAAGCTCAGTTAAAATTAAATTTTTCACGTTCTATCTCTTTTCACAGTGTTTCGTCTCTATTATGATGTAAATTGGGATTTAATAAATTTTAATCAGCGAAGCAGCCAAATGATTTATTCTGTCGTCGACGAGCTCAGTCTTCATCGCAGGATTTATCAGATTTACTAAATCCAATTCAACCGCCTAAATTTCATATCAAATACCATAAACTTCACTATTATCACCCTCATTATCTTCTGTCTATTTTCCGACAACATTCCGGCGAGCTCTCAAGGCAACGACATGATGACAGCAGCATACAATGAACTCTGAGACTCTCATCTTTCCCATTTTTTTCTCCCCGCTTTGCCATAAATCCCATTTTTCCTCCCATCTTTCTCCTCCGGCGACATTCCGACGAGCTCGCAAGACAACGACGAAATGACGACATACTATGACCTCCGAAACTCCCATCTTCCCCGCATTTAATTAAATCTGAATTTATGTTGAAAAAATAACTAAACATGCGAATATTCCATTTAACGGAGCAGAGGATTTAAATGTCGGACTTTGGATGTTTGGTTGAATTCAAGTTAAATTCATGTCTAAATTATATTAAAAAATGTGCAAATATTATTAATTTAATTGATAAATATTTAGAAAATTGTTGCAAGATTCACAGGTCAATTTCTTTTCAATATCAATCTTATGTCCTAACCCTCCAAATTTTAAAAAAAAAAACCCCGATGTGACATTCAACATCCATGAGCCCACCCGAATCCATAAAAAATAGCTTGATTGGCAAACCTAGCTAGCCGAAACATAAAATGAAATTCAAAATAAGCAATGCTCACCTCTGTGCCTGATGCAATTGACCAGGAACCTCAAATCTGCCGAAAAATTAAATGCCAGATTCCAATCATTATCTCTGAAAAAGAAATATATATCTTTATACATCATATTTATACCGATGAACAACAAAAGCAGAACATCTAAGGCCATCAGATGACATAAAATCAAAACAAGTGCGCGTACGAATCCTTGATGCAATATTTGAGCTGATTGCCAAATTCTTTAGCGAAGGCTCCAGTAAGGCTCATGAGACGATCATAGACAATGCTAGCGAAGAGCGGGACATCTTCTGTGTTTCCTCCGCCATCATCGTCTTCGCCATCATTGCCCTCATAATCATCGTAGTCGGTCTGGCACTGCCCTAGCTGCGCGACGGCTAGTAAGGCGACAACCAAGAGGGCAGCTATAGCCCATCTTCGGTGACGAGCGCGGCAAATACTGCGCATCTCCATGGGTGTCACTTTCGCGCAAGGGTTGTGGGAGGAGGGAGGGTTTGTAAGGAACGAACAAAAGGAAAAAAAAAAAAAGGACTATGGTGGGCGGAGAGGACTGATGTTGGAAAGGAGAAGTTAGGTGTTGTTGGACGGAAGGGAGGAAAATGCGGGAGAGAGGGAGAGAGAGGTGTTGGGTGGACATTAGAGCCTGCGGGGAGAGAAGCTCGTTAGAATGGGTGGATTTCAGCGCGTGCGGAGATGTGAATAGGGGTGCAGCTCCTCTTTGGATTCTTTATATTTCGAGCTCAAAAATTATGTTCATGTTCGGCTCGTCTGCTTAACGACTCGAGCACGAGCTTTTCACGAACAAAGAGTCTTTTTAACAATCCTAATAATATAGTCATAAGACAATAATTACACGAGCTGTTCGCGAACAACGAACCGTTTTTTGGACAGCTTTTACAAAAAATAACTATTTACTTTTATAATAAATTCAAAACTTTTTAATACGATCTATTTGATCTTTTATATTTTTTTTATTACATCATAATATGCAAAATTACTCTTAAACAATCATTTACATAAAAAATATAACAAGAGAAAAGTTATGATGTTTAGCCTCTGTTGAAATAATTTTATCATGTAGATGTATGCCACAAAATCCTGCCTATCTTTTGCATAGACGAAGTGAGTGTGGGATACCAATTTGATTTTTTTCATATGTGATAGAAAATGTTGGAGAAGCTGTGAAACAAAAAATAAAGATAGTGGTATGACAATTAGGGTCGAGCAATAGTGTTTTAATAATGAAGTTGATAATAGTGGTTCAATAGTATAACAACCTTAATAATAATGGACTATCCCAGAACTAATAATAATGATGTTAAGTGACAACCCATAGTCAATGGTAGTTTAGGGGTGATTGCATTTGGATTGCAAAAGTGATTCAACAAGAATGATATTTTTATGATGATATCAATAAAAGCAATGGTTGAGCCTAGACGACGATATTGTTGAGATTGTAATTTAGTGGCGATGATGGTTTTGCTGATGATAACAATTCAATGATAGTGTCAATCTGACAATGAAGAGGGTATAGATTTTTTAAATGATCCAATATCAAAATTTTATTATACACTGTTGATCATTATAAGCACCTTCCCATCACAAAATTTCTTTTAAAATAATCCTCCACAAATAAAAAAAATTTGTGGTGAAGTTCTAAAATAAAATGCAAGTTGTGACTCTCATGTTTAAATGGCATAATTTTCATGAGTCCTCTAATAACACTTTTATTATTAATTATTTAAAGTAGTAATTAGTTCAAGTTTATGGGATTCATGAGATCATTATCTCAAGGGAGAATCTTTTTTCTTTATATAAATAACATATTATTTACGAGAAATTATTATCTTTGAATATTATAAATTTATATAATGGTGGATGGATAGGTCACGTCACACACACACACACACACACACACACACACACACACACATATATATATATATATATATATATGAATTTATGATGTTGTCTTTCTATTTACTTTAGGACATCAACACACATTAACTTTTCCCTATTTACAAGCATATAAAATTTATTTTCTTTTGGGGAAAGAAAAAAACATAATGTAATAGTTTTTGATGGTCGAACATCCAATTACACCTTCTTTGGTCATTGCTTCAATATTCTATAATTCTGTGGGTCATTTTGTTTTCTTAAATCTCCGAACCGCTAAAAATTATGGGCCCAAGAAAAAATTATTACGTGCACACCCGGATGACGGTCCGAATACGGCCGCGTACGGCCACGCAGCCGTGGATCGCTTCTTCGTCCGAATTTGCAGCTGTTGCACATAATAATTCTCCAGACTCAAGGGCCCCCTACAATTTGCTTCGGCATCTATGATTCAAATCAAAATTTAATCAAAATTATTGAAATATAAATAAAAATTTTAATTAGATTCGATCTTATTATATAAATATAGTAATCTTAAAATATAATTGCCAGTAATCATATATATCTTAAACTTATAACAGTGGGGATTAGATTAGATGCAATTTTGCAATTTTAAGACAATTTATTGCAATTTATATAAGTGTGGGGATTAGATTCCTATAGATTCTATTCTAGATTTGTATGATAACTTTTTAGGTGTTTTGAGTAAATTTAATCATAAAATTAGCATGCACTAATTATTAACTTAAACTTATAACTTCATGGTGAGAGCTTGAGTTCCCAATAATTTGGCTAAAGTGGGCAAATTTGGTAGAACATGAAGATATTTGTTGAATCCTAAATTGACTATGGATTCATATCTCAAAGGAAGATTACATCATGAAAGAATTACTCGTTTCCCCGCAAATTCTAAGAGAGATTTTGTTTATCCCTTCTGTCTTGCTTTAGCGATGATGGTATAATTGATATTATTAGTGGCAGTGGCGTATTTTAGTAGTCATGGATGATCCTTTTACACATTATAAAATAATTATTCATTACTCACATTGATTCGTCATCAATAAATTTCCAACATCCACTAGAAATCATTTCGAGCATAACACGGATCTCGAGATAATCATTTGAGCAAGAAATGATCAAACTTTTATTAAGAGTCATCCAGATCACCAATTTTAACAAACTTACAGCCAAACCGATCGGCTCGATGAGACAAACCCAATGATAATAAAATTGATTGAATCTGAGTCAAATCAATCTCCGATCAAGATAATAAAATGTTTTTGAAAGTTTTCTGAATATACTTGGAAAGTTAAACGAATGTCGAATCTATTGAGCTTATAATTGAATCGAGCGTCTCAAGAAGAAGAATCCAGCGAGCCCAAAATCACTCAATTTTGACATCATTAAGAAACTTAGATATCCATCAAACCCCATATGATCGAAGAAAACTCTTTGGATTGTTTGATCAAAATTGTTCATATTTCTGCATTGACTGCACATGAAATCTTATAAATAGAGTCACATCCTTCTCGTGAAGGGGGGAGGAGATTTTAAAGTTTTGGGAATGAGTTGAAGTTAACCATCATTTTGCCGTCGTTGACCACCGTCGATCAGCGTCAACCATCGTCCGCCGATCTCTATTGTTCGCTCCTCGTTCCTTGCAACAATTTTATCTGCATTCGACGTTGTAACTTGGGAGACCTTGTAACCCTTTCTAACATGTGAGACAAGTGGTTGTAATTATAATCAATATTTTATAGTGAAATTCTTCAGCTTCCCTTTATGAGTTTTCCACGTAAAAAAATTTGGTGTCTCTACTCGTTGTATTCTTTTACCTAAATGTGTATTGAATTCTTGTGCAATACTAAAACAATAATTCATTACTCTACCACCGCAAATCTTCTTGCACACATGAGTTTGACGCCTTCTATGGGAAACAAAACACTGTTCGACACTGTCTTCAACTCTGAGATGTCGAGCCACTACTTAATTTCCCAACGATATACAACATCCAACTGATGAATGAACTTCCTCTGCATCTTAAAGATCGTCTCTGAAGCATTATTTGATATAGGGAGCAACCTTCACTACAGTCTTGAAAGGTCGTTCATGTCAATGTCCAAAACACGATTGTGGTGGAATTGTCTTCTAGCATCAATAGTCTTTCATGAATAATTTCATACTGGGGGTCAATCTTCACTGTAGTCTTGAAAGGTCATTCACATTAACGTATCGAGCATGATTGTGGCATGATAGTCATGCCACATTACATTTAGACAACAAGTCTTTGAAATCCTCTCCTAGAGTGGGGGTAATTTTTGTCGTAAATAACACTTCACCAATACCCCTTCACCATACTAAAACTCCTCTTCAACCATATCAAGAAGCTGATCACTTCAAGACTCGATACACATGGTACTTTACAATTTTATTTGGAAGCTTATGTTAAGGGGCAAAAAAATTCAAAAACAACAACTAAAAAGTTATCAAACATTTTTCATAAATATGGTTGCAACCATATTTCCGAGAAAACATGTGGTCCATTGCGACCTACACACCGACTATGAGAAATGCAGAGCACCTCTAACACCTCATTTTGGACTTAGTTGATCCAAGTGAAACTGATTCAACCTCTTCCATCACAGGCTACAGACATCAAGCAGAAGCTTCTACTGACAGCCTTAAATAAGTCAAAATTCCTTGGCGAACTTCCTTCAACCTCTTTAATGATAGGTTACAATCATCAAGCAAAAGCTTCAACCAAAAACTTAAGATAGGGAAACCATCCTCAGTGGATTTCATATGATTTTGTTTGTTGTGGGTTAATGTAGTCAAGCATCTCTGATTATACAACCTAGGACGTGTCTTACATCCTCAGTGGATTCTCCTTTCATCTTTGCTCCAGCATAGGCTATAGTTATCACACAGACACACTTCAACTAATAGTTTGGGATAAGTTGAAAATTCACAGTAGTAAAAAAGGTCTCCCACCAGTGCTCCTGGAAATCAATCCTAAGAGGCAAGGCTCAATAAGAATATAAGATACCCTTGGAAGTCAAGCCCAAAAAGTAAGACTCGATAAGAAGCTATCATGCCCCTGGAAGTTAAGCCTAAGAGGCAAAACTCGATGGGAAGATATTGTACTCCTTGAGTTGAACCCAAAAGAATAGAATTGATAAGAAGCTAGCAAGCCTCTAAAAGTCAAGCCTAGGAGGCAAGACTCGACGGGAAGATACGATACTCTTTGAAGTCAAACCGATGAGGCAAGACTCAATCGAAAAGTACAGTACCCCTAGAAGTCAAGCCAAAGAGACACGACTCAATAGAAAGCTACAATGCTCTTGGAAGACGATCCCAAGAGGTATGTATCGATGGAAAGCTAATAGTGGACATGGTCCTCACTAGACAGACTCAAAAAGAGCAATTGGTTGATAAAATCTCCACTCAAAGACCTCACATGTCTATAAGTCTCAGAAGGCACATATATATAAATGACCTCAAAAGGCTAAAAGTCTCAAAAGTCAACGAGCCTCAAAAGACATCAGTTCATATTAAGCACTTACAAGGCATAAGCCTAAGAAGACACAAGCCTATGAAGATACAAACATGAGAGGGCGCGACCTAAAAAGGCACGAGTACGTGATTCCTTTTAATATAAAATGTACGTTCAAACTTTGATTGCAGACTTCCACATAAATGAGAAACCACATAATCTCAAAAGCCATATACTTCAAAAGATGTCAACATCAACAATACCTCAGAAGCGAGATACTGACAACCCA